TACTAATTTGCTTGATATTTATTTTCCAAGAATTTATTGCAGTCTCGAAGAGAAAAATAAAATCTCTCTTAATATCGTTGAAAAAATTGAAAATTTAAACTCTCACATTTTTAACATTTTTCATCTGCATTGATTATTAAAAAATTCCATTAATTATTAATTCTCGGAATATAAATCTGTATTCCATTTCCTATATTATAAATTCTTGCATTTTGCATCGCTATTCGCTGTTTACTGTCTCGCGTAGCGAATGCAATTTTTTTTTAAACGACCTCGTTTGCCGCGTGCACGTTTTAATTACGTTGTGTGCTAATTATATCGCCTCTTTGTAAATTGCCTTGATTAACGCTTTTCCGAACGATCGATTGCAATATATATTCCGCAAAGGCGGAAAACGCAACGCAATCGCTCCAAACTCCTTTTTTCGATTGGCTTCAAGGCTGCACAAAGGCTTCTGGTTTTCCCTTTAGCTATTGCTGTACGCCAGCTTTCAAACGTCGCCGAGGGGAATTCTTGTCCGCCATCGTCGTCTCAATTGCTGAAACTAATTTAATTAATTAATCACCGGCGGTTCAGGTATTACGCGCAGAGAAACCTAATCTAGCTTCGTTTGAAATGCTTTCAGATCAGAAAAACATAACATAATCCAACACATAAACACTTGAAAGATAAAACGATTCGTTAAATCTAAATTTAATCCCAATAAATAATCTGACAATGATAATTATTGTTTCAAGTTTTCCAAAATGTAGTATTTTATGCATAAAGTATATAATTTGAAGGTTATTATTATATATTTATAATATGTAATTATAATATGTTTAAGTTAGGAAGATAATAAATAACATTCTCAATGTAAAACGCAAATTTAAATATTATGAGAATGATGCGAATGATTGTCAATTTTATAAAAAATTAATTTTTTTATAATACTGATTATTGTGCACAAGGTACGGATTTTTCCTTGTTTAATATACCAGAAAAATGTGAAAGCTCAATTCGAGATTTCTAAATATAATATCTCTCTTATCTCTCTGAGAAAACGTAATAATATATATATATATATATATATATATATATATATATATAATTATTGTGTTATCCTTTTTGTTTATTTTTGATAAGAGGTTTTTCGTTTTATTTGACATAAATAGAAAATTATAATCATAGACATATAGATTATGCGTATGTTATTTTAACTATTAACAATACACGAGAAAAAAGATATATATTAGAAGAAAAGCAATGTTTCAAAGATGTATTTTCTATTTCATTATTTTAACATGATTTAAAATGTTACCCAACACAAAATTCTCTGTCTCATTTTTGAATATGCGAAATCTGTGCCTACGTATTTGCCCGTCTTTGTTTATGCATGTCATGAATGACATACAAGTTAAACCAGCACAAAAAGAATATTTTTTGTTCTAATCATCTTAGGTTGTCCTCGGAATCTTCTAAAAGTGCACTTCTACTAAGCTTTAACTTTTAAGCGAGTCGAATGCGCTTTTGAAGATTACATAATATATGGACGAAATTTTGCATTTTTTAAGTCGTTATTTTCTTTTTTTTTGGTTTCTCTTTTGTTCGGTTATATTTCGGTTACGTTTTAACTGATCGAATTTTGAGCGTTCCAAACGTTTAAATCACAAGTGTCTTCCATTAAATCCATTGTTGTGCTATTCGAATCGAAGAAAGGCATCCCGGAGTGGACATTGTTTCTTGCGATCAGCACAATGCTATCGTCCGAATGCTGTGCAGTATACATTCTTGACTAATACGAATTTCGACAAGAAATTCTGCCAATGAATCGGTAACTCTCTTTTAAATTTCGTGTGTTAAAACTGTAACAAAAAAATCAGTCAAAGTTATTTTAAAATATCAGATTTTTATAATGATTTATGCATTTCAGATTTATTTAATCTAAATATATTTAGAGAGATTATTTAATAAGAGACATATTTTCTTTCAATATAATTAAGTAATAATTTCTTATTCTTCAAATGTAAAATTTTTTAATCTCGATAGAAATGGATTCTATTAATGTATTCTATTTATATTATTTATTAACAGAAAGATATGTACCTATAATTATTTTTATATCTTCTTAATTATAAGTTAAGAAGATTAATTATAATGATAGATTATTAATGATACTATTTATTAACAGAAAGATATGTATTTATAAAAATAAGTAAGAAAGATATGTACCTATAAAAATAAGTTTTTAAACTATAAATAATTAATGTTTGATAACAACACAAAATTAATGTTTAATAATGATATCAATAATGAATTTATGTTTTAATTATTAATAATTTCAACGTGGCTGATGAGAAAAATTTATATTTATTATTTATTTATTAGTTATTTAAACTGTAAATTGCTGTAAATTGCTATAAGAAAACTATAACAAATACGATATTACAAGATTAAAATTTAAAAAGTAAGTGTTATTGAATGATTAACTTAATAATTTTTGCTCCTCTTTTTTTGTGAAATATTATTTAATAAAATATTACACAATTTCTGTAAATATTTTTATTAAAATATTTTTATAAAAATTTTTACACAAATTTTTTATTACAAAGAAGTTCAAAAAATTTCCGTAGTTTCTAAAATCTTACCTATATAAACTATGTATTTTGGAAATTCCATATTTCTTTTAGCAAATGTTGTAAATTTCTATGTTGGAGACTTCTTTCTAAGAACTATAAAGCTATAAAGCTCAATAGAAAGAAAAGGTAAAATCATTAACCTTGAGACTTTATTCTTGAAATTTTCTTATAAATCATTCTTATAAATTATTCTTGAAAAATGCTTAAGAAACAGAGAAAGAAAAGAATAATTGCCAAAATACAAAAAACATTTTAATTAACACATTAATATACTTTTATCTCTTATACTTAAGATGTTTTTCTCCCCTTCTCTCTGTATTTTGCTTTTTAGTTTTTCCTTGTTGAAAAAAAATTCATTGATAAATATCCCGTAAAAATTATTATTTATTTATTATAGGAAAAATGAAACAAAAAAATAAATTTTCTTTTCGTTGTTATAATAATGACTACCAGAAAGAACAAGAGTAAGAAGATGCATAATTCTTTTATTATTTTATTAAAATTTGTAAATTTATTTTTATTACAATATATTTTAATTATTCGTAATCGATAAATGAAAATAAGCTAATTCACAAAAATCTGTGCATTATAAATGGGAGTTATATTGTTACGTCTGCGGAACGATATATCGAATGCGCACGACACAACTGATCGGCACTCGCGCATTCGCGTACTCGCACATTTCTAAATAACGCACTTCTAATATCTTAACAACGCGCGCGCGAAGACGATCTTCTTCCATCGACGTACTTCCTGTCGACGGTATACAACGGGTGGCGAAAACATCCGCAGGGACGCACTATTACAGCCTCTGTGGAACAAAAAAACGAGATTTAAATATTATAATAGCATGATGAAATTTGTTTCAATGTAATGCAGGTGGAAACCAAAGTAATGAAAAATAAGAATACAATATATGAAGAATATTTAAAATTTTAACTATAATTAATTAACTATAATTTACCTATCTAATTTATTTCAATAAGATTAAAATAAATTTGAAATAAGATTTGATTTAAAAAAATATATATAGATATCTTATATGTAAGATATCTATATATATATTTTTTAAATCATATCTTATATGTAAATATCATTAAAGATATAAGAAATAAAAAAAATAATTTTACCTTAAATTAATATTATTTTTGATATAAGAAATATTGATTTTTATTTATAAGAATTTTTTATTATTAAATTCTTCCTCTATATTTATATAATTATTATTATAATCAATATAATTAATCTAACCTGATTTAAAATTTAAAAAATTTGTAATATAATTAATAGAAAATATTAAAATAAAAATTAATAGTAATAAATAAAAAAATAAATTTTGAATAGTATAGAGAAAAAAAGTTCTTCTCATTGTCAGACGAAATTTATTATGGCAAGTTAAAAAATAAATATAAAGTTTGATTACAAAAAAAAAGAAAGAAAACATCGGATTTAAAACATCAATTTTTTAATCTTTAACATGGTGGGCAATTGTAATTTATTTTCAAATTATATCTGTCTATAATAATTATGTCGTAATATATGTATAAATTTAAAAAGAATAATCCCTCAAATTTAGAAAATAATAATAAAACAATAAAAAATTAAACTAAAAATTTATTATTTTGGATAATTTTACCAAACAATTGCACACTAGTAAATATTTGCACAACAATTGCACACTAGTAAATATTTGCAGGGAATCAAATAATTAGCAAAAGTTTGATCTGATTTAGCGTTTTTTGATTTCCTTCGAACAATGATATCGGGCAGTTTTCTATTCGAAATTTTTCGACGTGATATATTGCGTTACCAAAGTAAAAGTAGAGTCTCTGCCTAAAAACTCCGAACAGAATCGATACCGTTGTTTGAAAAAAACCGAAAAACACTAATTTGTCCGAGTTTTCATGTAGCAGACTTTAGGATCAACGGTTGAGTAACGATGTATCGTTACAAATTTACCTATTGGTGGTGGTTACATAGTCTATTCTTATATTTAAGATCGTCTTAAGTAAAATTTTAAGATATTATAAATCAACACAGAGTTGTATTAAGACGTTACTTAAGACGGTTTTGAAATAAGAACATGAATACTGCCCTATGTCTTTTTAAACATTTCTTTTTAAATTTTGATTTCGTACAAATGTTAAAAGTTTAATATTATCATGTATATATATATGTAAAGGGCAGCGCTATCTTTTATATCCTTATATGGTAGCATTAAACTTTTAATATTTTTACAAAATTATTAAGCTATAATTATGTACAAATATTAAAAATCTAATGCTATCTCTCTCTTTTTAAGTTTTTAAGTTTTTTTTTGATACATACATATCGCAATGCATGGTACATTTCATGAAATATGACTGTTGCAATTTAAAAAGAAATGTTTAGAAAAATATAAATTTATAACGATGTATCATTCTGGCCGTTGATTCATCGATTTGCTGCCTGACGAACAACTATATTGTGGTTGAGAGATAATTTTAGTTTAAGAGATAATTTTTGTTATCGAAGTAGATGATAGGTAATCGGTCCATCATCGTTATCGTTGAGGTAGGTGGTAAAATTCGGTCCATCATTTGCTGATATGAAGGCATTATGAGGGTCACATTGAATATTTGCTGTCACAGTGGAAGACCCAGTGGCAATATTCGCTGGCATCAACATGGCAGGAGGCCCAGTGTCAGAATAATATGATGAAGTTTGAGGATATTCAATATTTGAATACTGGAATGGAGCCACTGGAGAAAACGGCATCCGACAGCTGGAACAAGCATAGCCACTGCTGAACGAAATACCGTTTAAATACCCAATATATAAATTTAATTGATCATTAGTATAGTTTATAGCACTAACTGCGGATTAATGGATTTAGATGTGTCTTCTGATTTGGTTTTTCTTCGCGGACAATATTTATAGTTAGGATATCGTCTTTTATGCTCTTCGCGTAACTGGTTCGACCTGTCGATAAATGTTTGTTTCTCTTCTTGTGGAAGAGTTTTCCATTCCTGGCCCAATTGCTTCGAGATTTTAGAATTATGCAATTTTGGATTTTCTTTCGCAATCTTTTTGCGTTTTTCGCTGGACCAGAGTATAAATGGGTTCATAGGCCGTTTAATGCGCGTTTGCGTATGCGATGTAAAAGGAGTTTGTTGTTCATTATTGATATTTGAAAGCAATTGGCGTCCCACAAATGTTAGGTTGGGTCTGCTGCACGCACAAAAATGATCCATTTTCTCCACAATTGATGATCCTCTGTCCTATTAATTTAATTCGTCCTCGCCGTTCCTTCTAAAAAGTTAATAATAGCGAGTAATTATTATTAAATCATCTATATATTTTTATGTACAATATATAATATATACAGGATTTTCAAAAAGTTTCGGAACGTTAAAATATCTCGAAAATAATCAACTATAATGAAAAATATATAAGGAACAAAGTTGTAGGACTAAATAAAATGCACCTAATGATGATAAAAGTTTGACCTTGGATGAAGTACTGAAGATCATATGAAGATCAAGTTGATTTTTTTAAACCGAACTCTCCCATTTTTATTACATATTCTTATAGCTTATTTCAAGAGCTTTCCAAAACACTATAATTAAGTATTTTTTCGTTAGATACATTTCGAGTTATTCGTTAGATACATTTCGAGGCTTGAAATCATTTTTTAATTTTACATAAACTGTAAAATATCTTGTAAAATATTCATTTTTTGATTATCTTACCTTAATACTTTTATGTACAAAATAATTAGAGGAATCAATTAATGTAAAGAAAATACACAGTTATTTTTAAGAAAAAAAATGTAACTTAATTGCAAATTACATTTTTTTTTTTCGAAACAATTATGTGCTTTTTTTATATCAATTGATTTCTCTCATTATTTTGAGCATAAAAGTTTGAGATATTGAGATAAGATAGTCGAAAAACGAATATTTTGCGAGAAATTTTATAGTGTAAAATTATGAAATTTTTCAAGCTTCATATCTCGAAAAGTACTCAATAAAAAAATACTTTATTAGAATGTTTTAAAAAGATCTCGAAGTAAGTTACAAAAAAATGTAACGTAAAATGGGGGTTTCCATTTAAGAAATTAAAGGTACCTTCAAACGACTGTCCAAAAGATCAAATCAATGTCATCTTCTTATGTCTCTCTTCGAGTCAAATAATTTTTATTTAAAATAATTTTTGCTGTAACGTGTACTTTTAGAGATAATAGCTTCTAACTTTAAATGCCTCACTCTTATATATACATATATAAGATTTACATTTCATTTATCACATAATATTTTTTACTATATGAGGATTATGTAATGGAGCATTATTAAATCTTGCTAAGATATTATTTCTACTCGTACTAAAGGATTACGTCTAAGTCATAAAAGTAAAAAAAGAACGATTTTTATGTTTTTACATTTTCTTGAAGTATATCATATTGAAAATATTTCCTAAAAGATTCAAGTTAATCGGATGCAAATTGACGAAGTTATAAATATATGTTTCATGAAGCGCCAGAATGTATAACTTTGTTTAAATACGACTAAAAAGCTTCAGTTCTGATGTTTTAAGGGCTATTAAGTCAATATATGAAGATTTAAATAAACTAAAATTATATGAGCCCGGAATAGATGATTCTGTGTAAATTAAAAAAATTATATTTTATTTAAACATAACTTGATCTTAAATGCGTTTTTCTCGAAATCACTTTTTCAAAATCGGCAAGTGAACAAGATATTTTAAAAACCATTACACGATTTGCTTGAAATTTTACAGGCATTTTCTACATATAAAAATCTAGTACACGAATGAAGGATTTTTTTTTAATGAATACTTTTTTTACTTAATAAAAAATGAACAATTTTTAAGTCGAAAAAAGTGTCTTAATGTCAAATGGCTCCCAAAACCATTTTTCGATTAATTCTTCATTTATCTAGAATAGCACTGCTCATCGTACAGCTATTTCAATCCAATGAGAAATTTTACACACATTTATACTATTACGTTTATACTATATATAATTAATGTTTCGAACCTTAATATTGCAGATAATTTTTAATAATGTATCCTTGCAGGTTACGGATCTGTGCACGTGGTCTATCACTATTTCGGTCCCACTAGCACAACACTCTGAAAGCCACTGACTTGTTCGTGTTCCTTCCATCAGCTAATATGTCCTCTTTTTCTCTTTGTCATTTTCTCTTGTCGTCTTCTTTGTCTTTTCCCATTCTCTCGTTCTTTTTCTTTCTCTCATTCCTGTTCTGTCGCACCCAAGTTTTCGTTGCAAACCATGGGCGTGTAGCCTCTAGTTCGAAGGTCGACCGGACGATCCTCAACCCCCACTCGAGCAGGTTCAACCCCTCGTGCTCGATTGGTCGTCGCCGCTCCGTCGCACTTTGTTGCTCTGCTTCGCTCGGCTCAACGATATACATCGCTCGTGGACTGCAATTATTATTATCGATTACCTCGATATGATGAAGTACAAATAGCATGTGTATAGACCGGGATCGTTATTATATATTGTCTAGGGAACGGGGAATTCCGTCTGCCACCGCGAAGCGATAATTGTCGCGTGCGATTACCCTCGCGCGCTTATTCTTATTGAGAAGAAAGCATTCTTGGATTCTTCCTTCTTCACTTCGTTTTTTTCAATTTATCGAATAGTTGTTTCGGATTAAGACAATCTCTTAGTCTCCGTTTTCTTTTCGTTCTAATCTTATTTATATGTTTGATTAAAATTTTTTTAGTTACTGTCAAGTATTAATAATTGTTCTATTTTTGGAAACATTTGTTAATAATTTTTTTTAGAGAAAGCGTATTTTAAGGCGAAACATTGATGGATAGCCAAAGAATAACTTGTCCCGTTAACTTCATTTATTTTGTGAAATTCTTTTCTTCTAAATTTATTTTGTGAAATTCTTTTCTTCTAAATGTCCCATTCTTCCCATTCTTTTCTTTCAGACTTTTAGACCCTAGAATCCGTCTTCTAATCTTTTCTATCTGTCACGACAATGCGTGACTTAAACTTTCACTTAAAAAATATGATGGATATAAATTACTCAAGATTTTTTCAAAATGTAGATATTTTAAGATTGTTTTACTATTTATAATGTTAATTAAATTTGATGTCTCTATTTTATAATTTTAAGTAGCAAAAAGAGGGAAATATAATTGAAATATAAATGCATCTGTGATGTAAAAAAATTATGTAATTTTAGAAAGCACTGATAAAACTATCAATCTCTCTATCATATTCTCATACTTATATTATGCATTTATTAATTTTGTTCGCGCGCGGAAATCATTTAAATAAAAAACAAATTTATTAAAGGATAATCGATCTCGATAAGAATAACGAGAAAGCAAACGCTTGCTTATTTTCTTATGTCGTTTTTTCGTCGTCATCAACGTGTAATCAATTGGAAGTCTACTCCACAGTGAATTTCGACCCTATTTTATACATATATGTAAGAAAAAGAGAAAGAAAGAGAGGAGAGCGGCCGTTTTCGTGAAACAATGCTGGGCGAAATCTGACGGTTACCCTCCTATGGGAAATCTACGGGTACAATGCAAAAAATCCTCTCGACGATAGGGCACTTGGATTAGAGAATGAAAAGCAACGAAAGGAGAGAATATGTGCGCTCTCGCGCCGCTGTTTCCTATCTCGATAGTTCCTTCATCTCTCATCCTGGTCTATCCTTTCTCGCCTTTTTGATTCCCGAAGGACGTTCAGCGAACGAATAGACATCGTTCATTTTCACAGTGAACAGTATTAGTGTACTGTTTTATGCTTTTATTACGATTAATATTCGACAATCTTCCTCCACCGCAATCAAAACACCCCCTTTGTTTTCCTTTCCTATTATTATTATTATTATTATAGTATTATTATTATTATTAGTATTATTATTATTATTATTATTATTATTTGATATCGCATTATCTTTCCATAATTGTCCGCAAATATCCGCAAATATTAATAAGCGATCTTACTGGAAACTCTGCTATTAAAAGTTTCGATATCGAATCGAAACTCACGCTTCAGCGCGAATGGAATAATCAGATTAGCAATAAAACAGGACGAAGTAATAGAATTGAAGTATGGAATTACTTTTTTTTTTAAGTCAATACATTGTTATAAGGTCGAAATATTTCATCATCGATTTCGATGCGATCGGATAAAAAAGTCGAGGGACGGCAAGTCCGTCAGCTAATAATTTATTATTTCGCCGGGTTGCGCCACCCCGAAAAACAAAACCCACCCTCGTCGCGGCGTCGACAAAGGTTGACGGAAGGAAAAACGAGGAGCGCGTCTCTTCCGTCGCGGAAAAAATTCAGCGACGTGGTCGCCATTCCGTCGGCCTCTCCGCGAATATCTCGCGCGCGCGCGCACACACACACACACACACACACACACACACAAACACACACATGTACGCACACGCACACGCGCGCGTATACACACATTCTTGCCCGCATGCAGTCGGGTGCAAATTGGTATTGAAAAATCTCGAAGTCAATTAAAACTCGAGGCACAAAGGATTCGGCGAGACAAAATACCAATTATCTCATGTCCTCGCCCGTCGTCCTCCCCCGCCCTCTCCTTTCCCAGCCCGGTTCGACGAAGAGGAGGAGAAGGAGGGGATAGACGGGGGAGGAGGGAGAGGGCTTTTTCCCTTGCAAGAACTCAATTCCATTAGGCATTGAAGTGAGTAAAACGAGGATGGGCATCTATATAACGCATTCGCATCTCGCTTATCTACCTAATAAAGGTTTCTCCTCATCCCTCCCCTTCTCCCTGTTCCTCTTCTCATCGCTTCGGCTTCTTCTACCCCTGTGCGGCTCCCCCCGCGTAGTATAAAGCGTGCCCATGAGGTGTCTGCGAGACAATCCCTTGGGATGACAATGCTTATCCCACGTATGAATGCTTCCTAGGTAATTTAAGTATAGCCCGTCCGATATATTGTCTCCTCTTCTCCATCCTCTTCTCCGCGACACTCACGGGTTCTCGTTCCGTGCCCGTTCATGAAAATTGTTCGCCCTCGCGTTAATGATCGCTCTTAGAATTTATATCCCCAGATTCGGATTCAAAAGAGACGCGGAGATACACAAGGACCGAAAATCCCAGTGTTTGAAAGTCCAATTATCTATTGATGGAAAATAAATTCATGCGCTTGATAAATTAACGTAAACACACATACGTATTTACTTAAATCATTTCGCGAGATATTACTCGATTGCAATTCAAGATTCCATCTCGATGATCCAATGTCGCGTGATTCCGTAAAATCCAAAGTCCATACAAACTTGATGCTCTCGCTTAGATAGCAATTATGACGCGAGCTAATTAATAATCCTGTCGACGCGACATGTAACGTCTTCGCGCGCGCACCGCATCGGATCGCACGTGGACCGTGTAATTCGGATGCGCGAGATTATCCACGCAACGTTCCCGACACATTGATCCTGCAAATTAAATCGGTTGGTTGGCTGCTCGACCGACGGGGCGAGAAGATGGCAGCGACCGGCAGGCGATAAAAGCTCCATCCTGCTCACAGCAGGTAGGGAGGCTGATTATGAACGATCATGAAGGTGAAAGAAAGAGCATAGAGAGTGAAGCTTCATTCGCAACAATCGGAGAATTTTACAAGATTCAAAAATATCTTAAAACGTAGTATCTTTAATATTTTTAAAATCCCCAAAGATTTACTGCAAACTTTAGAAATTTATAATTTTGAGGCTTTTGAGTAAATAATTGTATCGTTGGATTATATTTCATAGTGACAGGTAGTAAAATTAGCTAATATCTACACATTTTTTAATTATATGTGATTCATATGAAATAATACTTAAATAATAGAACAAATATTTAAAATAATATGATAATAATACTGATACCTCTTATTAGCGAATTAAACTTTCCGCTTGTGAAATTTATAAAATAATAGATGAGAAATATTCGGTTATTATTATCATAATAATAATTTATTATTATTGCAATTATTATTATTGCAATTAATGTCCGTTGGGGATGCAGCTTAATGGGTACAAGATAGAGAGAGGGAGGGCCTAGCAAATTCAGGAAAGCCCGGGTGCAACGGTGAGAGAAGCAGGGTGATGGAGAAGGGAAATCCGGATCTCCATCGCGGTGCCACGTCGCCACCCCGAAGAATACGCTCGAACGCGTTGCGTAATTAGCGACTGCCTCCCTGGTTTCGTAGGTGGGTGGGTGGTTGGTTGTATCCAGCGGTGTGGCAGGGATCGCGAGTGAACGGGCGAGGGGGGGAAGGGGAGAAAGAGAGCGCGGAAAGGGTCGGCGAAGTGCAACCCTAGGAACCCGTTCGTGCTGAAAACGTCGCCGCGTGCGTAAGATACACGTGCGCGATCTACGGGGTGTTTCTTACCCGTTTTAAGGAAGAAGAGACAGGTGTGGGTGGCCGCGAGTCTCCGCGAATCCAAAAACCGCGTTTGTGCGAGACAAATCTTTAGAAAGACGCATTTGTCTTCGAAATTCGAAGAAATCCATTATACATTTCTTTCGCTTCTTGAGAACGTTATCTTTGCGAGAAAAAAAATACAGATAATATAATGTGCCAGTTAATATAATGTGTTCGGATCATCTCTGCGGAAATGAACGACATCGTTAATACGCGCGTCCATTATCGCGGAAAATATTGCCCGGCGTTCTTCGAAAAGCTTCCGATTCAAGCGTATGCAAGCCGAGTTAAGGGTGGATTAGTCGTCGATCTGATTTCTCCGAGTGGAGGAGGGGTTTTAGTCGAATTATGCGGCTCGTGGCGTCGACACTAATCCTTTCGAAAACACCCTATATAAGAGGAGAAGGTGGTGGGCGGAGGGGGAGAGAGTGTAGGGGGTTGCGAGCGTCGTCGAGACGCAATTAATGCGGAAACCAGGCGCGGACTCTAAAGGGAATTTCGAGAAGGGCATCGCCTATGCTGTGAGACGTAATGACTAATTGAGATTGGAAAGAGAAGAGTGCGAGCAAGGAAGGGGTGAGAGAAAACGAGAGAATAGAAGGGGGTTAATACGAACGTTGCGTGGTCACGGTAAAACGCGGCTTTTCTCTCCTTCTCTCTCTCTCTGCCTCTCTTCTTCTCTCTTAGAGACGGGATCTGTAACCCTCCTTTGCCACCATCTAGGACCTGTGACAAAGGATCACTCGCTTGCAGGCATACCAATGGAATTATGGATTTCTCTTCTATCGAGGCCTTCTATCGAGGATTCTGCGTGATTTTCCGCACGTATAATCGATTGCGAGTGATTTCGCTCGCAAAGCGTACAAATTGCGTCTTGAGGTTACAGTTTGCATGCAAAACGAAAAACGAAACGTGTCCAAAGGATGTTACGTTATGTCGAGAAAAATGCATTTATTCTTTATTGTATAATTTTCAGATTTTTTCATGATTGAGGCTTTGTTACAGTACACAAATAAAATTTTTCGATAAAAATAGAAGATAGAGGATAAAATCTTTCTTCTTTGAATTTTGAGAGAATTAAATTAATATAAAATTATATTTAAATTATAAATAAATTACTATAAAATTAATTAGACTATTGAATTAAATTATCGCTATTAAAAAAATTCTGAAACGGATATATAAACTCTATATACTTTATGATATATAAAATAAATAATTTATGATATATATAAAAAGGCTTTACAGTACACGAATAAAATTTCTCGATGAAAGTAACAACATGATACATTAGAAAAAAAAATAGAAAATAAAATTTTTCTGTTTTAAATTTTGAGAGATTTAAATTAATATAAAATTAATTAGACTATTGAATTAAATTTTTGCTATTAAAAAATTCTGAAACGGATATATTTACTTTATGATATATAAAAACCGACGCTCTTATAATTTTCAACGCAATGAACAAGATATGTTATTAAAATTATTAAAAGATACGTCTCTTTTTTAGCCTTTTGATTATTTTATACATCGCGTGTTAAAATCTAGAGAAAAGTTTTCATATTTGCATTGAACCTAATTTAACGATAATAATTAAATGCGTCATTTTGCGCAACGAGCGATTCGTGGTTTTCAAACACACACACACATACACACGCATATCGATCGTATTCCTAGAGACAGGTGCGGATTGTCGCAAGACGAATCTGTGCGTTTCGGTAGCTAGAGCAACCCCTCGACGGGGCGTCCCCGTCGTCGTCGTCGTCGTTTCCAACGAGTGTCTCCATTGCGCGCACCGGCTCGTCAGAGAACATTAAGATAATTACTTTGCAGCGGCGGGATGCGGCACTATTGTCGCGTTACCGCCGTCGAGAATGGCATTACGCCATTGTCGACGAAGAAAGCGCGCGCGGGCTCGCTCGCTCGCTCGCGCTGCTTTGCGCGAGATGGTGCAGGAACGCGCTATTCTGTATATAACTCGCGGCGATAGCGAGGGGTGGGAGAGAGCGTTACGCTTCCGCCGAGGTGCCTCCGCTCCCATTCGAAGGGATGTTTTCCGACACACGAGAACGAGGAGGGAAGCGAGGAGGCAGCGCGTCCGGGGTTGCTGCTCTCTCTCTCTCTCTTTCTTCCTCTCCCTCTCTCTCCTTCTCTCCTTCTCTCTTTCTCTCTCTCCCTCTCTTCTATTCTCTCTGTTTCTCTCTTGTCGGCGACGCCATTAATGTAATTATTTCCATCGACTGTTCCGAAGCGCGGCCAAAGCCGGGAGAGCCGAGACTCCGATCGGCGCGGACTGCGACGATAAAAGGTGTCGTATCTTTTGGAATAATCAAATCGCGGTGACATCGCGATTTTTTGCGGGCGACAAAAAATATCAAGGGTATCCGGGCGACAAAATAGGAGGGATTGTCAAATGCAGGACATGGATACCTACAATACGTTGAATTAAGGTTTGAAATATCCTTTCGGAATATTTTTTCTCTACATTCTTAGAGAGGAAACAGAGGTAAAAAAAAAAACGTGAAAGTGTTGCATTTTTAATACATGAAGACTTTAAAATATATTTTAAAAAATTCATTTTTACTTTAAATATTAGAGTATTAAAAGAAAAATTAAAAGAAAAAATTTATAAACATATATATTTAATTTTGCATTAAATAAGGATTGCGATTAATTTCTGTGCAAATGTTGCGTAATATATTGAAAGAATGTCAAGAGGATATAAATGACGATATCTCGCAATGAAACAGAAGTTTGGAAATGTATATTCCAAGTTGCTGACTTCAGTGTATCACATTGTAAGCTAGACGTTTCTTTCGAAATTCTCTTCCAAATCTCAATGTGATCGTTCCAATTAAATTCTCTTTTGTGATAATAATGAATTGAACAACTCAGAGATGAATACTTTTTAAAATTTCTATTTTAAAATTTCAAAACATGTCTTTCAAGGATACTTTGATCGAAGAGGATGGCTTTGGATTTGTGCCAAGGCCACGTGGTATGGTACCATCAAAATTATGTGAGATTGTCAGAAGGTATTGCTATTAGGTATTATTATTATTGTTACATATTATTGTTACATACACAAAGGAAGAAGTTTAACTTGTGTATAATTATAATCATTTTATGGGAAATTAATATTTTGAATCACAGCTAGATATATTTATTTAGACAAACATGAAATATTTTCGCTTTATCAAATTTGAATAGAAGTTTTTACAAAAATAAGCAGCTTAAATGATTCTCGAAAATTTGCTTTCAATTTTTATTTGACCGATGACTTATTTTGACATGAATGCTCCACGCCAGATACACTCTGACGAATAAAAACAAGGGAATTGTTCGTTTGATATCTTGGGGTGCTAGCATTCAATCGATCAAAATTCCCAATCGAGATGGAAAACTCGCTGATGTTGTTTTAGGATTTGATGATATGGATGGTATACATATATATAAATTGTTTGCTGAAATAAATGTTCATTCTTTGAAGAATATTGGATGCGTATAATATTTATTGTTAGCTATTTATATTTCAAGTTTGAATTTTTATCATTGTTATTAATTAGGATACCTGAAAAACAGATATATGGGAAGTATTATTGGCCGCGTTGCCGATCACATTCCGATGCATTTCAGCAATGTAATTTATCCTCCGACGATTAAAAAGGATAATAATTATAATAATGGCACGGTCGCGTTCGACAATGTTAATTGGCACTCGCAGATAGTGAACAATCGAGTGGTAGGGTGTAATTTATTCTGCCTAAAATCGAGCGCGAGAAATAATAAAAAATTATTGCGTTTTATATTATATTCTTTGACGAGGTGATGTCACATTTGAGTCGAGCCGATAGCGAAGGCTATCCTGGTGATGTGTTAACGCAAGTTAAGTACACCTGGACGGACGATAATCAGCTTCACATTAACATTCGCGCCACCAGCACAAAACCTACCCTCATCAATATCACTAATTACTGCTTATTCAATCTCGCCGGACACGTAAGAATTAAACGTAGAGCTTTGGTTTCATCGAAAATAACAATTTTTATCTGCTAGAAAAGATTTCGAAATTTCTTTCGATAAAAATAATATATTTGAATTATACTTTCTTACAACTTAATTTTCAGTGCAATGATTTTTTTTAGGTCAAGGAAAGAAATATTGCGTTAATTTAGAGCTTTTGGAATTACAAAGAAATTTCATATTTTCCTTTCAGATATTTTTATATGCCATTTCAAAGAAAAAATAATTTAAAAAGGCACAATTTAAAAAGAAGTAAAAATCAGAAAATTTAAAAGTTCAAATAGATTTAAGAGTTCAAATTTATTTTTTCTCAATCAATATTATTTTATTTAAATCTTCTGTTGGGGCAACATTAAAATAATTCGATTGTAGGGCACCGGCTCGAAGGAATTGAAAAAACATCTCCTCATCGTCAATGCCGACAGTTGGATTTTTATGGACGTTAAAAACCATTTGCCAATCGGTATTATATCTCCGGTCGATTGTACACCCTTCGAACTGCGTTTACCAGTTCAGTTGAATCAACGTCGATTATTCGACATACCGGGTGGCGGTTATAATCACAATCTATGCATTAATAGTCCCAGTTGCTGGTGTTATCGTTTCCACGCACGGTAATTCTTTTAATTTTATTCCGATGTACTTATACATTATTTTTTCAATCAGTTTACTTCGCCGATGTATTAATATAGAATTTTGCATCCCACTTCCGGGCGATTTCTTGAAGTTTATTCGAATCATCCTGGATTGCGAATTTATACAGGCAATGAGTTGCCATATCCTGACTATGCTTATCCTCCTGATTTGAAGAATCACGAATGGGGAGGCTGCCAGGATACGCAAGTTAATTCCGTAGAAACTAATTCTTTAGAATCGGTAAGACTGAGTCATATTTTAAAGAAGTAAATTTCTTCATCTAAAAGACTTTAAAGTCCAAGATTTTTTTTTCTAAAATTTATAATATTGTTACTTCTCTTTAAAATAAAAGATTTGAATATGTCGGCAATTGTTAAAAATATTATATATTTTAAACAGACAAAGAAAAGAGAGAAGAGAGAAGTAGAAATTTATGGTAAAGAAGGTATTCCTTATCGCCGCCATGGTGGCTTTGCTTTGTCGCCCCAAAATTATTCCAACACTGTTAATGTCAAATATTATCCTTCTTGCATGTTGTATCCCGGAAAGATTTATGTGCACGATATGACTTATAAATTTGGAGTGATTTCCAAAGATTAAAGTTTTTATTCTTGACTTGTCTTTCAACTGCTCGATTTTCCCTTTATATATATAAAAAAATACTGTATTGAGATTAAATTTTTTTATTTCAAATTTTTGAATGTAAAACATTCACAGAGTTATTTACAGTCAGTATATATAATGTTACAAACAGAAAAATTTACTGTTTAAATAAGAGAAAAAATGGGAAGAGAAGGAAACAATTGTATGGTCTCTTGTAAAGTCAAATAGTAAATCGTGAATGATTTAGGTGGAACGAATTGTAAGAAAACTGTAAACAGGTAAACGATTGTTTAAGATCGCCATAACCTTTTAGTTCCTTCTTTGTATCGAATTCTCTGCACCTTTTAGTTCCTTCTTTGAGTTTTAGTTGAACTAAAAGTTCAAACGTTCGTTCAGTGCGTTCGATACAAAGAAGACATACACGACTTACACACACAAAGAGTTCTGATTTACCAAATTTTGGTGAATCCTTTCAAAAGAGTAAAAGGTAAAAGAAAACAAAATTCAAAATGTGTTTTAAAATAATAAAAGAATTTTATAAAAAAATTTGATAAAACAAAAAAATTTTGAAAGGTAAAAGAAAAGAATTTTAAAAGGTATAAAAGAGTCTAATAAATAAGAAAACCTAATCTCTTTTACCGGAACGAGACTAAGTACGATGTTTAGATTGAAAATGAAAGCGGGTTAATAAACATAAATATTTATCGTAAAAACTTAAACTCAAGATTAAATTTTATTTTTATACTTAATTAATCAAATTTGCAATGCAATTGTATGTGTGTTTTATTTCGCGAATGTTAAAAAAATGCGGAAATTATCAACCAGAGCAGAATGGAGCTGAAGCTATCTTTAAAGATCAACGCAAGTTGATTGAGTTGTTAGAGTTTATTATCAATTTCTTAATAAAGTCCATTTATTTAGGTGTTTGTTGAATTCATCAATTTTTTATTTTCTTCCTAATAAATTTCAAAATATTATTATACGAAGAGGACGGAAAGATCGATGTTATTTTATTATCGATATTTTCCCATCGATAATTTTTATTTTTTAATAATTATTTGCTAAGGAGATCGGTTGCTTTATTGTTAGCATTTTTGCATCTTTTTCTCGTAATTTTTCTCATAAATATTTGATGGCGAATATTTAATAATAACAAATAATAATAATAATTGATTATGAATAATTGATTAAAAGGCACAAAAGATTCTATTTAATCAGTGATTTTGTTTATCACGATTGTTGCCGAGAAAACAGAGAAATTGTTTTAAATAAACTTTATTCACATCCTATATATATAAAATATATATAATACCAGTTCTGGCATGTTCTCTAGTATTATACATAATTAAAATCGTTACTATGTATAGGCACGAAGTAATAACGTATAATCAAGCAATCGTATATATATCGACGATATATGTCTACGAAGTCCTCTTTGAAATTTCAGCGCAGTCAAATGTACTGGTTTTGTACACGAAACTACATTCGTGCCGTATTTCTTCCGAGCTAAAATTTATAAATATATAAAGCTACATTTGTTTCTGTTTACACGCGCGTTCGCTCGCTTAAAGCTATATATAATAATCTAGCGTTTGTACATCTCTAACGTGTTACTATACTTCTAATCAAATCGTATTATGTAACAAGTACAGGCAGTAAATCGAAAGAACGCTCTTACATTTCTTGACAAAGAGACGCGCAAAGAGTTGCTGGAGAATCTCATTCAGGCTCTTGTCAATGAATTATTTTTTTATTCGATATAAGTCAGCGAATGTAAAAATCTGACGAAAAAGATAAGGCACTCGATTGGTTACATTGGCAGTGTAGATGTATCGAAGATAAACTGGCAGTCGTAAAAATAATTGTTATTGCTCGTAAATAAAATATTTATTATCTAGCAGCTAAATAATGCGCGAGTGAACACAAAAGATTCAAAACGCTCAACGTTCCTCTCATATTTCGAATCACGTTGATCCATTTTAAAAATTAGCTCTTTTTACAGACCGTTCCGTCATTCGCGCTCCTCCCACCTTGGCATTTCCGGTGCTTTTAATACTTTACCGTAGCTTGAAATAATTCGCGAAAAATTGACTAAAGAAAAAGCGTAACGCGCAGTGTCGGGCAGTGTTTTCTCAATTCGATTATCCTCGATCCTTCCGATGATCTCATTCCACGACTATGAGATGGACTGTGAGTGTTAGAGGTTTTTCCCACTCCGTTCTCATCGCCGTCGCGTTTTCGGGACGACCGTGGATCACCACGTGAAATTCGCCGGGATTTTTCAGCCGGTGCCGGAAGTGCAGGGCGGAAACGCCGCGTTCCTTGACGATCTCGAAGTGTCCGTCATTGTTGCCCCGCGCGATAGTGTAATTCATGTCCTCGCCCTGTGAGATGATGATAAAGTTGAAGCTCATTTTCAATTGGAGCTTTCTAAAGAAGAAGATATTAACTTAAGATTATATTCTTTCTAGGAAATTACCTTGATGGCGGATTGCAGCTTGATGATCCGTGTGCGATGCCTCGTTTGACGTAGATTGACTTTAAGCAAGTGCTCCATTCCGTGATGATGCCTCTTCAGCCTGGAGTTTCGTCGTTTTTTCATTCTGTTTCTCCTCGTCCTCGCCTCTTCACTGGTAAGTCTATTTCTAGTGCCTCTTCTGTGTCGCCCATTTCCATTTATCTAATTCAAAAACCCGCGTTTAAATCTCATTTATTCCGCTATGAAAAAAAAAACAGACGTGATATACAAACCTTGCAAGAGAAACATCCTTCTGTGGAAATTGTCTTATCATCGGCCGATGGTATGTGATAAGAATCAGGATTGATTTGGAAGGTTGGCACGTTGCCGATATCTTCGTTGTAGCGTCCTTGCGACAAGGGATTAATCGTAGACAGACAGTGACCCTGCAGAAAGTTTTTATATAAATTATATTTTTATATAAAAATTTTATATAAAATATACTTTTAATATAAATATTCCTATATTTTTCTTCAAGACATTTTAAACGGCTCATTTCATTTTTTTAACACGATTGGAAAACGAACCTGTCCTATTCGCTGATAACCGGTGGGACAGCCGCAAATAAACCCGCTGATTCCGTTTGGAGTGCATCCGAAGGCACAAGGGCTGCCGAAACATCCGGCACTTACCTTGGAAGAGAAAAGAGACACAAAGTAAAATACATCTACATTTCTAGAAATATTAATAAAATAAAAGGAAATTCGCGAATGCCATACTTGCACGCAGATTGCCAGATTATTATCGAATTGATAACCGTCCGGACAACCGCATTTGTAACCACCAATCGTGTTAATGCAGGTACTATCGCCACATGGCGACGTGTTGCATTCATTCTCGTCAATACATTGATTATAATAAAGGTGCTGCACAAAGCCATCCGGGCATCCACAGCGGTAACTTCCCATAAAATTCTGAAAAAATTAGAAGCACATTGTGCAGTTAGTTTTTGTGAAAAGAAGGCGAAGTCTTTAAACGAAGGAAAGGTCTTTTCTTAGAAACGGAAAGCATAAATAATGTATGGTCATTATTGCATAAAGGATGTTCATCATTATAAAGAAAATTCTAAAGTAGTAAATAATGATAGAAAGAAGCTAAAGTAAATAATTACATGCTTACCTGGCAACCGTGTTCACAATTGACATCGTCGGCACATTCATTATGATCTGTACAGAAACGCCCAGAATGGTCTAGCTTAAAGCCCCTTGGACACAGACATTGAAAACTGCCAAGAGTATTAATACATTTCCCAGGTTTCGGACAAACACCCGCTTGTTCGCATTCATTTATATCTGTAAGAAACTTATATTACAAGAAGCACGCAGAGGGAAAGATTGCGAGTAACGAAAAATATATCCATTTATACATTTACATTAATTGTTGTTAATTAAATGAAGAGAAAAGTAATTAGGAGATTTGTAGACGAACCATGGCATGCATCTCCTTGTTGATTGTAGCCTTCCTGGCAGCCGCAAGTGTAACTTCCTGGTGTGTTAATGCAATTCTGCTGGCACAAGTGATTCCCGGTCGCGCATTCGTCCAAGTCCCTACAGCTGACACCGTCGGGATTTAAGATGAAGCCGGATGGACACGAGCAGATAAAACTGCCTTCGGTGTTTTGACAGTTGTACTTGCACGGCTTCGGCGTTAACTCGCATTCGTTAATATCTGCGCGATTCCATATGATTTAATTTTCAATTCAATTAATAATTATCACATATTTCGATTAGAGAGGAGAGCTTACCGATACATTGAATACCAGATTTGTCGGCCTTGTAGCCTTTATTACAGATACATCTGTAAGAGCCTAGAGTATTGATACATAGACCGTTTCTGCAAAGATCCGGTATGGTCTTGCACTCGTCGATGTCTGAAATTTTTTTATTTATATCGATAAGGAGCGAGATTCTCGCTCCTTATCGATATAATCAATTAAAAATAGATAATAAAATATTGTACCTTGTCCATTAACGGAAAATCCTTTGTCCAGACAAAGTTCGTTGTAATTGTCGGAATCCCTCGATGGGCAAATTTCGCAATGTGGCCCCCATGCGGCTCCCATAGTGCAACAACAATCCGCTTTAGTGACCGTGCGCAATTCCGAAGTCCTGGCGGTGCACCTGCCACCGATTGTTTGCAGGAAACAATAGCCGACCCTTCGGTCTGAAAATAAAAAATAGATAAAAAATGGAATCGTGACAGTTTACATGATATTTTTATTTATTAATCTAATTGCACGATCTCTTCTCATACCGATACACGATTTTCCGTCCAAGCTCTGCTCGAAACCGTCATGACATAGACACTGATAGCTCCCGTCCAAGTTGACGCAACGGCCATGTTGACAGAGACCCGAATTAATAGCGCACTCGTTAATATCCTTGCACTCGTCCGCCATTCCTATCTTTTGGTAACCAGGCGGGCAAATGCATATGAAGGTGCCGATGAGATTTTTGCACTGGAATCTGCAGTCGTTCGC